TATATTTATATATATTTATATATTTATTTTAATTTATTAATATATATTTTGTTTAAATTAAATATTATTAAAAAATATATTTATTTATTTTATATATTTTTTTATTTTATATATTTTTTTTTATATTTATATGAATTTTTATTTATTAATATATATTTTTTTTATTTATATAATATATATTTATTTATTTTTATTTTTTTATATATATTATTTTCACTTTTTTATTACATTTATGTTACAATTATTTTAATTATTATTAGAATATTTATTTTATTATTTTTTATTTTTATTTTATTTATATTCGTATTTTTCTATTTATATTTTTGCATCATAATTATTTTTATTATCTATTATTAATTAGTCTAAACTTTAATTAAAAATTTCTTCTTTTTTTTATATATTTTATAATATTTATATTTTATTTCTCTATTCTTCTAAGATATTTTTTTTTTCACTTATCTCTTTTTCTTATTATTCAATTTATGTATACTATATATTTATCAAATTTTTTTGTTTGTCCATTTATTTTTACAATTGAATTATGTATTATTCTTATTATTCGAGTTACTCTTTTAGCAATTCCTGTTCTATAAACTATTAATTACCTTTTTTTTTCTTTGCTAATTTATAATATAAAAAATTTTTTTAATACATTTTTAATTTGCTTCTAAATTTTTATCATCTAATTCAATCTTTAAGGTTAAAAGTGTACTAACTATATTGTAAATATCTTTTAAAATTATATTTTATAGTTAGCTTAATTATCCGAATGAAATTAAAATATTTTAAATGTCATTTTATTCTAGCAGTTATAAGTTTTATGGTATGTATTTTCTATATTCTTAAATAAATATGTTAGTTTGTTAACTTATCATTTATAAAATTATGTCTTTTTGTTTTTACTAAAAAATTAATTATATATATAAAATTAAAATCTTAAAAAAATATATATAAATTATTGAAATAATATATATATATATTATAAAATTTAATAATAATTATTTTCTTAAAAATTTAATTTAATTTAATTTTTTAAATATTATAACATAAAATTTATTTAAATATAAATAAGTAAATAAATACATTTATATCTTTCATATTAAATTTTAAACTTTATTTGTATAACTATTTAATCATTTTTATTTTTTAATATCCTTAATTTAATCTAGTTAATAGTAAAATTATATAAAATGTAAAATTATAATAATTTTAAGATAATATTATTTTATTAGGATTACTTATATTTATAGCCCAAGTAAATTAAATTGAGCACTTAAATGCATATTTTTATATTTCACCTAATTATTAATCTAATTCTTCATTAAATCTACATAAGCCGATTCCATTAAATCTTTTCATCCCAGTTAAATCCATAATTCTTTTTCTTTAAGACTTTTAAACTAATACTAGCTTAACATCTTTATTATTACATTATTACATTACCTTTTCTAATATATCATGATTTTCTTTTCCATATATTAATATAACACATTCTATGTTTTCCTATTTAATTTTATTTGAAATAGCCTTTAGTCCAATAATGATATTTTTTATATTTAAATGTTGTACTCTATTCATAATTTCACTATTTTTTTACTTTCTTAGTTATAAATCTATAAATTACGGCAGTGGGTAATATTTTCTGCTATCATTTATATATTTTTATAATAAATCAACTAATTTAGCACTGTCAGATTCATTTAATATTTCACTATTATATATAAATGATTTTAAATTTTACTATTTTTTTATACATTGAAAAACTCAAAGGAATTGAAAATTATGTTTAAGAAAACACTTTTCTCTATTATTATTTTTATTATTTATCGTTTTTGTTAAGATGATTATTTTAAGGTTTTTATTAAACGATTAATGTACGCATAAAAAAATCTAAATTAATTATTATATTTAAAATATACAAATTATAATTTTTATGTATAAATGTAATATTATATAAATTTTAATTAAGTTTAAATATAAAAATAATTGTTCATTTTAAAAATTTAATTTTCAGCATAATATTCTTTGATAAAATTTTAGATTTATAAGTTAAAAAAAGTTATTTATAGTTATATGACTTAATTTTTTATATTATTAATACTATTTTATTTTAACAAATTTATTAACAAAAAATAAATATATATATATATATATTTAATTATATATTATATTATTAAATATGATTTTAGCTGTCTTTTATGTTTTAAGTTAATATAATTTTAAAACTTTTCCTCATTGTTAATATATAATATTATTTTTATAGAATTAATAACATGATTAAGGAAATAAAATTGCAAATTCCATCCTATAAAAAAAAATATAATTTTTTAAATCAAAAAAAGAAAAAATAAGATAAATAAATAATTTTCAATCAAATTATTAACTTGCAAAAAAAAAATTAATACAGATGCATTAAATTTCAACTAAAAATATAACTCAAATAAAAAATTATAATAATTTATATATATAAAAAAATTTCATAAATTATTATTCAATCTAACAATTTAAATTTAAGTACATCTAAAGAAAAAGACAGTATTTAATTAGATACAAACAAGAAAATAAATAATTATTAATTATCAATCAAATTTTTAAATGAGATTATAATAATTAAACTTAATAACAAATAAAATAATTAGAAAGTTTTTTTAAAAAAAATAGTGGATAAGCAAGATCTTTTTTATTTAAATTTCAGTTTTTTATTATAATTTTTTTTATATAAAAATGAATTTTTTTAAAATATGGAATTAATGACACCAAGAGAAACAAGTAATAAATTTTAATTATTCTAATGATAATAATTTTACTATTATATTTTAAAAACTTATAAAATACTAAATTTTAATCTAATTCTCCTAAATTTAATTATTTATCTGTACCCTATTCTGTAATATACAAAATTTTCTTTTAATTATAAAAAATATTTTCAAGAAAAAGTTATTGATAAAATTTGTGTCATTAGATTTCTAAATTGAAGTAATTCTAATGGAACTAATAATATAGTTTAAGCCCATTTTAGAAAGCTAATGTTCCAATGTTTACAAATAATTAATTCAAAAATTTATTAGATTGGAGATTAAACATTCTTTATCAGATCTAAATATGAGTATTAAACTTTTATTACTTTTTTAATTTATAAAAAATTTAAACGATATTGATAGCATCCAATAATATTAAAAATTAAATATGGAAAAAATTGATTAATTGAAAATTTTACATAGCGAAATAAAAAGGAATTAAATTATATAATAATAAATTAGCAAAAAGAAGGAAATCAAAATTTATCTTTATTTATTAAATAATCTTATTATTAAAGAAAATAATTTCATAAAATAAATGAAAAAAATAAATATAGTATTTAAAGAAATTAAACTGTATTTCGTATATAAAATATTTATTAAAAAAAGGCTAAAATTATAAAATCTTTATCTATAAAAAATAAGGGACTAAATAACAAAAACTAACAAATAGAAATTATTCTTAAATAATTATTATTATATAAAAAATAATTGCATAGAGAGAATAATACCATTTAAAATATTTTTAAAGCAAAGATTTAAGTTACAACAATTAAAATGCTATTATTTAGAACGACAAGTTTAATTATGATATAAATAAAACAAATTTTCTCAAAATTCACATTTATTAAACATAAATAATATAACAAAAAATATATTAATTATTTTAAAGAATCAAAAAATTTTAAATATTAAAAATAAAATGGTTAAAAATCTCTTTAATTTAAATAAAATATAAAAATTAATTTAATAATAATAATAATAGTACTTATATTTGTTGGTTATTTGTAATTATTTATTAAATATTATACATTTTCTAATTTTCGTAATTACTAAAATACAAATATATATATATATGTATATATATATATTAATTTATATGTTTAAAAGTAATTTCGTAATTAAAGCATTTTGCAGAAATAAATTTAAATTTATTAAAACAGCAACTATTTATCAATTTTAATAAGGAAAACGAAACAATTCTTTTTTAAAAATCTTTGAAATAAATTTAGCTTGCTGAAAACTCATAAGAAATACATTATTATAAAATAAAATAAAATAGTTAAATTTCAGCAATTAAAATTTATAAAGAGTGAGTGGTAAATACAAAACCTAACACGAAGTGAATAAATAAATAGATTTTATAAAAAATTAAAATATAAAAATTCTTATATAATAATTATCAAAAATTAATTAAAATATAAAAGATAAGGTAAAATTAATTCTGTAGCATTAAATTTTAATTTTAATTGAAAATTATAAATTTAAAATATTTTTATTTTTTAGATTTTTTCTTTTTAACAATATTTTAGAAATTCTTTTATTTTTAATGATTTTAAAAAATATACAATATCTAAAATAATTTTATTTTAGAAATTCGAATTTATTCTTTATTTGTGCTATAATTTTATTTTTATTTTGATAATATGATTTTTTAAAAAATATAATATCATTTATCTCTGATGTTATTATTTTATATTAAATTATTATTTTCCTATTAATAAAGAAAAAAATATAATATAAATATAAAAAAAATTGAATAATAATTATTCCAAAAAATAAAAAAAATGGAAGGAGAAATTACTATCAAACTTAAATTATCTAACGAAGGGGTTTTTGATGTTAAAATAAATCCAAAATCGACGATAGAATAATTCAAACAAAAAATTGCTTCTGAAAAAAATTGTGAACCTGAACATATTAAATTGATTTTAAAAGGTATAATATGAATTAATTCTTTATAGGACTTTAATTTAAAAATAAAAATAAAATAAAAAGGTAAATGGCTAAAGAATAATGAAGAAACGTTAGAAGCAAACAAAGTAACTGATGGAACAATAATGCACATTATAATCAATAAACGTATGATTTATAAATTTTATATTATTTCAAATAATCATTTTTTATAAAAACAGCATAAGGAAATTAATAATCAGAATAAACATCATCTACTCAAAATACTAATGCCTAATAGCCTACTTCAAATGCTTAATAAGTTCCCAATAATTTAAATACTGGAGTTGGATCAAACCCATTTATGGGAATCGGAGGATTAGGAGGTCTTGGCGATTTAGGAAGTATGAATCCTAATGATTTATAAGGAATGCTAAATAATCCTGAAGTATAATAAATGATGCAATAGGTATATAAATTAAATATTAAATATAAATAAGTAACAAATAAAAAAGATGCTTTAAAATCCTTAACAACTTTAATAATTAATGCAAGCTAACCCTTATACAAGACAAATGTTAGAATAAAATCCTTAATTATTAGTTACTTAATTGATAAAAATATTAATTTATATTTATAAAAAAAAGTAAATGTTTAGTGATCCCTTAGTAATGTAAATGATGAGTAATCCTGCCTTTATTTAATAAGCTATGAATATGATGTAAGGAGGTGGTGGTATGGGCGGATTAGGTGGAATGGCTGGATTAGGCGGAATGGGAGGATTAGGTGGAATGGGAGGATTAGGTGGAATGGGAGGATTAGGTTAATAACCTCCAGCAAGTAACTAGGACACTTAGAATTAAAATAATTAATAACCCTCTAATTTCAATCGTATTTCTATTTTTAATTTATTTAATTTATAATATTTTGTTAAATAAAAGCTTTAATGTTTGGCGGATTAGGAGGATTAGGAGGATTAGGAGGATTAGGAGGATTAGGTGGATTAGGAGGAATGGGTGGTTTTCAACAGAATTCTGCTGATAATAGACCACCTGAAGAAAAGTATTAAGAATAATTAGTTTAATTAGAAGCCATGGGATTCACAAATAAAAATGTGAATATTGAAGCTTTAAAAGTTACCGGAGGAAACGTTGAAGCTGCAGTTGAACGTCTTCTAAATATGCTAGGATGAATAAAAAAATATTAGAAAACTAAAGAAATATAATTTTTTTTTAGGTTATATTATGTAATGTTTTTATGTATTCAAATAATTATATTTTAAATTAGAGAATCATTTTATAATATTAATATCTATTTTATGTTTTTCTTATTTTTTTATAATTTAATTTTAATTGCATTTTAAAATCATCATATAAATTTTATATTAATTATTATTAAAGATATTAATTTAAATCTTCATCTATTAAGAGTTTGAATATCTATCAATATTAAATGAAATGTCATATAATTTTAATATTAATTTATAAAAAAAATTTAATATATTATTTATTTTATATTTTATTTTTAAAATAAATATAACCTTATAACATTGTTTAACTTAATTTTTATTTATTTTATTAGATTAATACTTTATTTTATGCTTATAACTTTTAATAATTTTATTATAATCGCCATTAAAAGGATTAATTTTACTTTCTTATAATTCAAAGTATTATTATTTTTGACTAAATTAATTATTTGAATAATAAAATAATAAAATTTTTAATTAACTTAAGAATATTATTTTTCTTATTAAAAAAAATATAAAAACGGTAAATAAAATTATATTTAAATAATTATTTTAAGATTTAAATCATTTTTAATTTTTAATTATTACTTTAATGGTTTTAATAAGCGGTATTTCTTAATATTTTGAATAATTTCTAATTATAAATGTGTCATTTTACTTTTATAATATTATTTTAGTATTTATTCTCTAAAAAATCAGAAATGTATTTTTTTGAATATAAAAGAAAAAATTAAAAAAATAATTTAATCATTGTTTTTTGTTAATAAAACTTAAAAATTCATACTTTATTTTTTTGCATATTTTACTAATCAAAAAATATATGCTTTATATAATATTAACTAATTATTTAATTATTAATATAAATTAATGATTAATAATTTTATTATTCATAAAAATATTTAAATATATAGATTTAATAATTCTTATTTTTTTATTGTATTTAAAATATGAAAATTAATAAAAAGTAAATTGATTTATTATATTTTTGATCTAATCTTTAGTAATAATGGTTTTACTCATTTTCAACAAGATTTTAATATATAATAATATATTATAAAATTTAAAAATTAATTATAAATTATGATATTATATATAATTAGTAATATAATTAACTAAAACATTTAAAAAATATATTGTAAAAAGTTTAATTATCTTTTTTATTTATAAATTAATAAAATTGATTAATAAAAAAATAAAGAGTTTATAATATGAAATTATAAAATAAACTATATATAAAATTAATAGAAAATAAAAATATATATATATATAAATATTTATATTTTATATTATTATTTTATTTATATTTATCTTTTTTTTTTATCAATTTATTATTATATAGTTTTCTAATAATTTAATTTATAATTTTTTATTTCATAAACATTTTAATATTTTTAATTATTAAATTAATTTTTAAATGTATTAATATATTTAAATTCTTTTTCTATTATTTTTAAATTTATTTATTTATTAATATTTATATTATTTATGTTTTAATTAAATATATTCTAATATAATTCGTATTTAAATAAAAATTTAATAATTTACATTAAAAAAAGTAATATATAAATTTTATTACTTAAATAATTTAAAATAATATTATCATTTTATAAATTCTTTCATTAATAAAAATATTGTAGTAAAAAATATTAGATATAAAATATGTTACTATTTTTTTTAGTTATCATTACTAATATCTTTTATTTATGCGCATTTATCTTAAAGTATATTAGTTATTTCTTGTATTTTTTTTTATTTTTATTAAATTTAAATATATTATTATTAAATTTCAAGAATTACAATTTATTTTTTACCTATTTTTGTATTTTAATTATTATTAATATGATCTTTAATTTTTTAATTTAAATAATTTTCTAATACTAAATTAATTTAAGGAGCAAAATAATTTTACCATACATCTTTATTTTCTTCAATAGTTCCATTTTAAATTCTACTTTTAAAAGTAGTTGATTTAATAAAATTAACATAAATATTTTATTAAATTATTGTTTTTAATTCATTTTCTGTTTGATTTTATGTAATTTTAAATTAATATCTAACTGTAAAATAATCCGAATATGGAATTTTACTTATGAACAATTCTTTTTCTATATAAACTTCTTTTTCATTAATAAAAAAGAAATTTTCTTTTGCTTCACAACGACATGTTTTTGGTCCAAAAGGTATTTTTTCCCTTACTGGATGTACAAGTTAATATTCTCTTAAATGCTTAATTGGGCTTTTTATAATAGATTCAATATCATCATTATTAATATCAGTAAAATAAACTGGGGGAGAAGGAGTTATTTTTCCAAATTGTATTTCAGTATCCTTTTAGAATTCTTAGAAAAAATATTCCATAAATTAAGTGTATTCTTTTTTATTTGAATATTTGTTTTCACTGAATATCAATATGAAAACTTCTTTTGTGGAAACACCTGGGATGGTAATTTCTTAAGATATAAAATCTTAATTTGATTTATAAAAGAAGCTTTCTTCCATAAATTATTTCTTCCTTTCTTCTTACCAATTAGTATTTGTCAATTTTTCTGTTATATTTTTTTCTTATATTTCTTCGAAATCTTCAGAATCTTTAATAACTGCATTTTTTTATATTTCTTGGCATTTTTAAAGATTTTCATTTTTATGAAATGTATTTGATACAGGAGAAGATTATTCAGAGTTTTTTTTACTACTTATATTTTAAAATTCTTTTTTTATATTTTTTTTTTTAAATTTAAATAAATATACTTAAATCCTCCGAATTTTTTTAGACTCTATCTTTAGTAATAATTTACTTTTTTGCACTTTCTTCACATTCAACTTATTATTGAATTTTCAAAATATCACTTTTTTTAAGAATTCCTTACAAGATAGATGAAATAATAGCATAACAACTATCCCTATTAATATAGGAAGTAAAGAACAGTTCTCCTTTATCAACGATTAAGGCTATACTATTATCAAATACTACTGCATTCTTTCTTTTTTCTATCTTTATTATATCTTTTATAGGAATACATAAAATTGTATGTCCAACTAAATTCTAGCTATTAAAATATGAATGGAATCCTACTCTATCTTAGAAAATATACATTTTGCCTTACAACAGAATTTTGTGGCTAAATGCGCAATTAAATGATTATATAAATTAAGATTTATCAGTCCCAAATAAAAGGGAAGTTTTTTAAATTTTATCATTTTCATTCGAATTTTATACAACGTTTTTGCAATTATCCTATGTATTTTCGAGAGAAGGATCAGAATCATCTTCATCTAGTTAGTCTTTTTTTGCTTATTCGTCAATTTACTTGTAGAATTCTTCAGAAATTTTGAGTTGTTTTTAATATTAATATATATTTTCATTTATATTATTATTTTAAAATTAAAAATATTAAAGAAAACAGGAATCTTCGAATTTTTAATCTAAATCGATTTTGTTATATGAATATAAAGGTATCTATTATTCAATGATATCCGTGTTTTTTTAAAAGGAGTCTTTATATTTATTACATAGCCTAATTATAATATCGCGAATGTTCTGAAGTCTTTTTTATTCATCATTTTAAAAAAAATCAAGCGAAACTCTTAAAAACGAGTTAGTTTCAACAACCCATTTAGTTTTATTATTAGTTTTTTAATAATCATTAAAAAGTTTTTTTTACATATTAAAAAATGATGTTGCTTATTAATTTTATTCATTTAAATTAAAGTCTATTTGCTTTATTGAAGCTATAATTATTAAACAAATCTCTTGTATAGAATTACTATATTCTTACTATTGAAAAAATACTTTTTAGAATATTTAATTTAGTATTTTTAAAATTGAAATTTAAGAATCATTATTTGTTAACTTTTAAATATGTTAATTTTCTCTATCAATTGCTAAACTTAACTGCTCTAAAGCATCCTTAAATTCATTTAAAAAATCACGAATACTAATCATTAAAGAACGCCTTTCAAATATTATTTATTCAAAAATTTCTAGATATATGCTAGCAGATTCTTAATATGAATTGAATTATTGAGTTGTTAGCTTTTATAATAATAAAAATTAAATACAAATAAAAATATATAAATTGTTTTTAATTATATTTTATAATATATATAAATATACGGTTGCTTTCTTATTCAAAGCATCTGATAATTATTAGAAGTTTATTCCTGATGAATATGTGTTTTTATCTTTTAATTTAAATAAATATTAAAATAATAAAAATTATTAAATAATACTTATTTATACTAATCTTTATTAAATGAGTTAATGCTCATGTTCTTAAAGAATATATTCTGGATCATCAATTTTTTTTTCTTTTGCAAGGCTTGTACAAAACTAAGATAGGCAAATCTATGATTTCTAAGTAATAACAAGACAATTAACAACTTTTTCCACAGCTTATTTAAAAATTTATTTGATATCTTTTTAATATTCATTTAAAGAGTAAGGGATAGAACCAATATAACTGTTACCTTCTTCTATTATTTATTTAAATTTTTATTCTTGAGATTCAGAATCTTTTATTGAATCAAATATTTTTTTACATTATTTATATTAAAATGATATATTGTATTTCAGATTTTAATCATTGACAGCATTTTTTAAATCAATAATATTGTTTTCCACTTCTTTACAAGCTTTTTGATATTTTTATTATTATTTAAAATAATCATTTTTTTATGTTTGCAAGTTCTTTTATTGTAATTATGATCGTTCCTGGATTTATTTATATACTATTTTTATTTGATCTATAAATGAAGTAATGTTGTCTAATATCATAACCTTGTTCTTTTATTAAATATCTTACATTTTATTTGATATTTCTAATGTGAAAACTGCAAAGTTGTGAATTAATTAAAGTAGGTTTCTACCTGTTTACCAATTTATAGAGTTTTATTATTTTTTTGAACTTTTAGCCATTTGTTTTGAAAATATTTCAACTTCATTTTCTATGCCAGATAAATAATTATTTATATATTTTATTTATTTTATTGTTTGATTTAAGAAATTCTCTAACTTTTAACTTTTTTAATAGAACTAATTATATGTTTACTACTAATTATCTTTTACTTGGGTCAATAATCCATATACATCGTTGATAAAAATGTAATCTTGTTATTATTCTTAATCATCTTATTAATTTTAAAAATTATTCATTTTTTTTATTTAAATAAAATTAAATAATCTATTATATAAACCAATTTTATATATAATAAATGGATAAAAAATAAAAATATAATTTTTGTATTTACTAATACTAATATTAATAAATAAATAATGAATATTTATAAATACAAAAAAATTATTTATTTTTTATTTTGATAAAATAAAATAAAAAACTTTTGTCATAAAGTATTCAATTATTCAATCAAAATTTAAGATTCGGCATTAGGCAAATCTTTTTAGAGTCTTTATTACATTCTCTATTTCGCTTTATCACCAATTAAATTTAATAAAGAATCAACTAAACTTTAATCAATATGAGCTCCTTTTGCTTCTCTTATATCTTAAAATTAATTATTATTGATTAAGTTTTCGCTTTTTGACTTGTTATTTTCTTCTTCAATATTATCATTAGTAGGAGAACTTTAATTAGAGTTTTTTTAGTTATCTTCTGCATCCATGTTATCATTTTCTTTTTCTTTTTCTTCAGTTTTATCTATAATTTCTTCACCCTTATTAGTTTTTAGAATGTACATGTTTTCATTTAAGTTGATACTATCTCTATTAAAGAGTTTTTATTTTTGTTCTTCGATTTCTTTTTATTTTTGTGGATTGTAAAGTTCATTTTCTTAAACAGTACATAATTATTAAGCCTTAAGAGTTTTTGTAATGATTTTTCTTCTTAAACTGAAATTGAGGCTATCTTTAAGGTTTGAAAAAAGCATTTTACATCTTTATTTATAATTTTCATTTAATTAATATTTATTTGATTTATTATTAATATTAAATATTGTTTGTTCTATTTCAACCGCGAATTTTCTAGCAATTTCATATATATCTTAAGTTAAGACTTTTTTCTCTTCTTCTGTTAGCTCATTTTCATATACTTCAAACTCTATTAATCCATATATTATAAATTCAAAGAACTTTTCCCTAACTTCCATTCTTTTTTTTTCTATTCCCACTAGATTACCGATTGGATTGTATTTCTTATATTTATTCACTAAATTTACAATTTTTTCATTTTGTTAAACTGAAAGGTTCTAATATGTTTTTTATGCATTATTATTATTATTTTACGAGTCTTTTTTTTAAGTTTAAAGGGCTTTTTACTAGGGTTACTTTTATTAAGAATTTTGCAATTATTATTTTTATTATTTTCTACGTTATTCTTCCATTTTTTATTCTTTTTCTTATTACATTTTTGTCCATATTTCTTTCATTTTATTTGTATCAACACCCGATTTTCTTCTTTCCATTACTACAAGCTATTATGGTTCGGATTAATCTTTATTTACTTTTAAATTTAATTGGTAATAAATATATAAATAATAATGTAATAATTACCTTATTATATTTCTTATTCCATTTCGAATGCTTTAGAACTATTGTTTCGTTGTAACTCTATTTCTGCGCTTATATCTTAATTGGAAGTATTAAATTTAATTATTCCTTAGCATTAGTTGCATTTAATACTCTCAATAATACATTTTGAATGGTAAAAAGCCTCATTGCAAGAGTCACATAAAACAAGATTATCTTCATCAGGATTAATAATACGCTCACACAAGCAAGAAGGCAGCTTTTCAACTTCAGGTTCAAATTTTCCTTATTTTACATCATAGTACTATCTTGTAAGATAAAAAGGTTATTCTTTTGTTGGATGTTCTCTTAAACAAAATTCTTTAAATTTGAAGACATCTACTTTTTACTGAACATTTGAAAGTTTTTCAGTGTATGATAATGATGTTCGAAATAATTCAAAGCTTCCATGAAAATATTATACTTATGGAACTGCTTCTGAATATTTATAAAGAATAAATTTAAATCTGGTTTCTCTAGTATTTACTTCTTCTATTTAACCTATAATATGAGCTTGGAGTTCTTCACAGAAAACAATTACAAAATCTCCTCTTTATAAATCTTTATTCATTTTCAATTTTATTTTTTTATAAGGATATAATTAAAGTCTTTTTAAAAACTTAAATTGTATATATTAATATTTTTTTTTTAGTATAAATATTTAGAAGGCAATTTTTATATTTTATGTTTAATTTGTTTTTATAAAATATAAATATATATTTATTTTCTCGAATTTTTTATATGACTTTTTAGCTAAATTATAAAGCAATATTATATTTTTATAATATAATAAAAAAAAATATATTATTTAATTTTTAAAATAAGATATACTATTATTTTTTATTTTTATAATAAATAGAAATAATTAAACAATTAATATTAAAAAGTCTTTATTTTTTAATATTCGCTTATTTAATAGCATATTTTTCGACTTATTGATATGATATAAAAATAATTTTATTATTAAATTATAAATTGTTTATTTATTTAATTTGATTTATAAACTAAATTAAAAATAAAATATAAAAAATAAAAATGAATATTAAAAACTTATAACTATTATAATATTTTTTTATATAAATAATTACTAAATATTGATATAAAAAGATTATATAAAAAATAAATAAATTTTTATGATTAAAAGATAATAATATAAATTTTATACTTTAAGAATTAATTTATAAAATATATATTTTACTATAAATTTTTGTATTTATAATAAAATTTATTTTTAAAGTTATTTTTTAAAAGAGAATTATACTTTAATTATTCATTCTAATTAATTTAGAGGTATTTTTTATTTTTAAACATTATTTTATTATCTATACAATGGAAGCATAAATAAGTTGCATGAAAGCCAAAAAAATAACACAATTAATAAAAAAATAATTATATTTAAACTTTATATTACTAAACTTATGCAAATAGTAATAGCAACAGAAAAGCCTTAAACGAATCTAAAAACAGCAAAACTTTCTAACTATCCATTAAATAATTTGACACAAAATATAGAACTAATGTTATTTTATAAACAATCGGAAAATCCCCAAAAGAAAGCACAAACAAAACAAAAGTAATAATTTTTCAAAAAATAAGCTAAAAAACTAAATGTAATAGCTAAAAAACTCATTATATTACAAAAAGCAGTAACTTTTTTATAACAGAATGTATCTAATAAGTATCCACTTAAAAAGCCTGTAATCATTTCACTAAAACCTAAAACAATGATTACATAGGTTGATTTTATATTAAAATCTTATTTTTCATTATCATATAAATTATCTCCATTTCCTTCGTACCTTAATGATATTTATATTAATTTATGCAAAAAGCTTGAATAAAAAGCGATTATAACACCTTATAAATAAAAAAATGGCAAATAATGTCTTATTTTTTTTGAAAATAAAAAGTTTTTGAAATTAATTATTATTTCTTTATTAAAAATAGCATTGAAATTATTTTATAATTCCTTAAGTTCTTGTTCTTGTTCTTATTATAATTTTGGCAAAAACAACATTAAAAAAAACTCATTAAACCAATAAAACTCATAATTATGAAAAAAGTATTTAATTCGTAAAACTTTAACAAAATAAATGCCAAAATAGCTCCTAATCCTTAACTAAATGACATTATTCCATAAAATATTCCAAAATATTTACCTTAATTTTAAGGTCTGATTTTACATAAATCATGCAAATATGCACTAACTGCTAACTTTAATTGAAATTAATATATTTTTTAAATAACATATATAATATTAAACCCAAATTAAAGATCCAAAACAACCAGCAATTAATGTTAATATTATTACTATTGTATAAACCGTAACTTTTTTACAAATAAATATATCACTTTCTTTACATTAAGATACATATATCCCTAAAGATATAAAAATTGTTAAAGCGAAACTGCATGTTATTAATACTGGTTTTTGCTTATATTTATTTATTATTGAACTAATAAATATATTAAAAATTCCGAAAGATAAGTACAAGCATAAAATAGTCATATTTCCTAAGTAATAGAAACCATATTGATTATAAATTTAAGAAATTAAATTCAAAAAAGTTAGCTCAGCACAAAATAAAAGCAAAAAACATAATCCTAAATAGATTATAGACAATATTATTTTAACGTTTGAACATTATTTTTGATCTTATAAAATTAATACTTGCTTCATGACTTTTTGTTTGTTAAATTAATTTTAAATTATTATTACATATGTAATTTTAAAAAGATATATTATTTATATTATAAAATTAAATATTTATAATATTTAAAACAATAATAAAAAAATGATATTAAAAAATAAATTATTAATAATAATAAATTGAAATTGAAATTTCTTTTTCATAAAATAAAGATATCTAAATTTTCTTAAACTTGTATAAAAATATAAACCCAAAAATTATTTTTTTAATAAATAAAATATAATTTATTTCATTTAAGAAAGATTTAATGTTAGAAAGAGAATTTTTCATTGAATTTCTAACACAATTTTTCAGAAAAATTTTCAATCAATTACAATTAATTTTTCGTAAAAATCAGATCCGATTTTCTACCTAAATATATTTATTTTTTTAACTAATTATTATTAAATAAGCTTAAAGAATGATTAGTAAAAATATTTAAATATTATTTTATTATAATAATTTTCATAATTTAATCACATTAAATAAATTATTTATTGATTTTTGAATCTTTAATTGTTAGCGAATTTAATAGTTATGTTAATTTATTAAAGTTGAAGTTAATCTTTATGGTTTTTTCAAGGAAAATAAAAAATTATATATATATATATATATATTTATAATCATTATAATAATATAACTAAAATATAATTTATAAATTTTATATATTTAGAAATGATTTTTTATTTAAAAAAAAAAATTAATTAAGTTAAAATTATTCGACATCAAATTTAATATATAAATATTTAAAATTATTTTATGAAATCTAAATTCTTAAAATAAAATAATTAATTAAAATAAAATGATATCATAATTTTTAATTTATTATATTAATAATGTCTTTAAATAATTTCTATTTTATTATTTTTTTGAAAATATTCTTATCATCAAAACTATTAAATAAAGTTTTACATTAGTCAACAATTATATTAAAATATTCTAAAATAAATAAAGAAATTTTTAATTCATCATTTATAAATTCATGAATTTATTAAAAAAAAAATATAAAAATTTTAGTATTTATTATAGTTGTTAGAAATTTATATAACACATATTATTATAATTAATAATTTTTTTAAATATGAATAAATATATAATTAAAATAATATTTTTTTTATATATTTCACACATAATATTTTTTTTTTATATATTATACACCTATGTTGAATTTATAATTTTTATTGTTTAATCTATTAATAATTTGAATCATTATATTTCAAAGTTTTTTTACTTTTTATGAATCATTCCAAGTTGAAAAAACTTAATCAATAAAAAAAATGGATTATTGCCATTTTTTTATTATTTAATAATTTTTTTTTTTTAATAAAAGCCAAATTAATTTATTTTTAAAAAAATAATTTAATTAAAAAATAAAAATATAAAGTAATATTTTAAAGCCATACCTATCTCTTTAATTTAATATTTTTTCTAAAAATATTTAATCATTAATAGAACATCTTTTTTCCGCTTCTTATAGAAAAATTCAATTATTTTAGATCTTTTAAGAAGTTATCAAAGTTTAATAAGGTATTACGATTTTTTTTTAAATAACAAAAAATTAATTTGATAATATATTAATATTATAATAAATAAATGATTTCTGTATACTCTTATTATTTATTATTTTTTTGATTAAAGCATTTCACCTGAATTTTAATTAAGAAATTAAGTAATTAATCTATAAATACTTATTTTATATTATTTATTTAGTATTCTTATTAGTGATATGATTTTCAATAATTTTAATATTCATTATTAAAATTATTGACAGCAAAAATAAATATTTAGCTAGTCTTTAAATATTGAATTATAGTATTCCATATTATAATTTTATTTTAAATTATTATCACTTTAAAAAAAATACAAGAAACATATTATTAAATATTTTTTTATTAAAACTTAACATGAATCTTTTGGGAAATTATAAAATTTATTTATTAATTAAAATAATATTTTTATATAAATAATTAATTATTAATATGAAAAAGTTTCTTTTGAGATAAACTAAGCGAAACAAAATAAATACTATAATGAGTTGTACAAAATCACAAATAAATTAAAATTAAATAAATAAAAAATTAAATAAAAAGTATATATATTTAAGTAAAAAATAAAATCAATTTTCAATAAATAAAATTAAAATAATATTTAAATATAAAATTGTTAAATCATTAAAAAATTACATTGAAAAACAACAACTTAAAATTAAAAAAGTTATGAAAAAAAACATAGAATAAATATATTAAATAAATACAAAACATAAAAATCAGCAAGATATTTAAAAAAGATATGATTAAGTTTAATTAAAAAATAAATTGTTTATAAATTCTTAGTTTAATTAATATCATATGTGGCCAAATAAACAAAATATAAAAAATATTAGTGAAAACATAATAAATTCACCATAATTAAAGCTAACAAATATTATATCGTAAAATACATAGTTAACTTAAATTGAAAAAAGGGATTTTTAATATTAATAATAATAACAAAACGATATATATTAAAAAAATATTATAACATTCAAAAATAATTTGATAAAAAAACAATAATAAAAAATAAATGAAAAATATTCTTAAAATGAAGAAGTAATTGATAGCACAAGCAAATACTTGCAAATATTATATCCTTTTAATTAAAAAAATTAATCAAAAGATGAAGATCCTAATATTTATTTGAAAAATATGGCAAAAAAACTTCAAAAAGTTTCACAAAATTTAACTTCTCCAACTAAAAAAATTATTAAACTTTCCTAATCAGCATAATATGTAAAACATGAAGATAATTTTTTAATAAAGTAATAATAGTAAAGATTATCTTCAGATTTTTTTTATAAAATAAAAGCAAAAAATATGCCCAAAAAGTATTAAAATTAATTTAGAAAAGGAGCCTATAATAATAATTTAATAAAAAAAAAATAAGAAACAAACAAAAACAAAAAAATGTGCTTTTCAAATTGTTAAATTGACAATTTTAAAAATAATTATTTAAGTAAATTATCTTCTTTAAGCAGAATAAACTAATAGAGTAACTTTTCAATAAAAAGCAATAGTATACATAAAAATAATATAAATGCTATTTTAGAATAATATACAGATTTAACATATTTTGAATAAATATAATTAGCAAAAAACAAGAAAATTGAAGAAAAAAACTAAAAATTAAAAAGACAAAGTTCTCATATTTTATCTCAAATATTTACTCCTTCTAAAAAAAATTATTAAAATTTGGACATTTTATAATCTTTTAGAACTTCTATAATAAAAGGAGGTTAATACAATTCAATTTAAAATAGTCTTTTTTTGGAAGATGATGAAGAAAAAAAAAAGAAAAATTAAGAGATTTATATAGATTTTGTTATTTAAAATTCTACGAAAAATAAAAAGAATGTTTAATAGTAAGTTTAAATTGTGAATAATATATTTATTAATTAGTAAAGAAATAATACTTTGAATAATATTAATATTAAAGTTGATAATTTCTATATTAAAAATAGTTGTGAAAAAAAAAATTATTTTTAACACAAGAATAAAATTAAAGTTTTATTTTAAAAAAAGTTTCATTAAAATAAAATTAATTTTATCTTAAGTTCTTTTTCCAAAAATTAAAATAAATTATAATTATTTACTATTTCTTAAGATTATTTTCTAAAGTTTTATGAAAAATAAAATGGAGTCAATTTTAATTTTGAACTTATTAATTCTCATAGAAATAAAAAACCTATCCATTCTATGCTTTATTTAAATAAAATTAATCATTTATTTAGTGGAAGTGCAGATGGTTTAATTAAAATATTTAAAAAAGAAAACGAAAGATTTATTTATAAATAGTTTTTAAAGGCACATTTAGGTTAAGTAAGCTCTCTTATAAATAATTAAGAAGAAACATTCTATTCAGGAGGATCAGATGGGATTATTAAAAGCTGGGATATGTAAAATAATTAATGTTAATAATAAATGAATATAGATTCTGGAATAAAATAAATTGATTATTTGGACAACTTTTAAATTGTGGCAAATATTAATTAAAAAAATTTCAGTTTAGTCGATTTTAGATAAAAAGCTTTTCATTCAAATATAAATAATTTAGATTTTTCATGTTTAAAGTATATGAAAAAAAGAAATATTTTTTAAATCATTCTAGCTGCTAATAACGAAGTACTTTTGTATGATTTAAGAAAAATTAATAAACCTATTAGTATATATTAAGATATAGAAAATATTAACTGTATAGAATTTTCGCAAGATTTCAATATATGTTTTTATAGTACTTTTTCTTAAGTTGCTTTCATTAACTTTTTCAATAATTAAAGAGGTTATCTTGTTTAAAATGCAAATAAAATTAATACATTCTCCGTTTTAAATAATTAATTTCTTTTTACAGGTTTATATTCTGGTGATTTAATATGTTATTAGTTGTAAATATGAGGTTTTGATATAAATAAAAAATTATCAATTAATTTATAACAACTTTTCAATTAATTAAAATTGTATAAAAACTTAAATTATATTATATATTATAAGTTTCTATTTATATTATAAAAAAATACCTTCATTTTTATTTTAAAACCTTAATATTATTTATAATCTTTAAATAAAATAAAATTAATTAATCAGTTATTTAATTAATTAAAGTATATTGTTAATTAATTATTAGATTTATTTCAAAAGATAAATAGGAACAAAATTTTAAAGCATAAACGTTTACTTGAAAAAAAATACTAAGCTATTATTCTAAATGCTTTATATAATAAAGCAAAATCAATTAATTATATTTTTTAATATTTATAATAATATTAATTTTTAAACTAATAATTTTATTTTTATATATATTATAAAATTTACAAATTTTAATAAAAATTTTACAAAAAAATATAATGAATAATATTTATTTTAATTAACAAATTTAATATTTTAATATAATATAATTTATTAAATTAATTAATTTTTAAATTAAGTTGCTAAAAAATAATTCTATTTATAATATGATGCAATAAATTTTTAGTTTTACTGGTGTGATTTGACCGCTTTTTTATATAGGTAAATCAAAATAATTATGATAATTAATAGTTAGGCAACGCAATAATATTGTACTATAATAATTCTGCATCTTTATCAACCATTAATTATTACTAAAGTTATATTTATTTTACTTAATAAAAAATTAATTAGTACAATTAAATTTTACAACAATTAATTATAAATTTAGAAAAAAAACAAAATTATAATTTAGTCTAGTTTATTAATTAAGATTTATACAAAGAAATATATAATAATATTTAAAATTTATAAAAATGAAATTAATTTTGGAATTATTAATACTAATAAAAGTTATAAAATGCATTTAATAGGCAAAGATTGTAGAATAGAAATAAATTTCTGAAAATATATTAAATAATCTTATATAAAACTATTATTGTGGGTTAGTAGATTGTTATCCTCATTTTAAACTAAACAAAATATTTACATTATGTTTCAACATGACAAAAAATAAAGTGTTAGATAGGTAAAAAAAATAAAAAAATAAAAATAAAATAAAATAAATTAAAAGAGATTTTTGGACAGATGCTACTGCAATTTCAAGCATATTATAATATTATGAATATAAAAACAATAAAGAAATTCAGGAAATAGAATTCCTTTTTGAAGATTGGGATTTAGAAAGATTATCTGATATTCTTTTATGGGATAAAAAAAATACTACAAATATTTACGGAGTTGGAATAGATGATAGGCTTTGGTATGCAATAACTCTTATTTAAATCTAAACTCTAAAAGGCAAATAGTATAATAAAGGAACATTTTAGTAATTATCGATTGAAATATTCGATTGGGTAGATTAAATGTACTAAGATAACATTTGTGGGGGAGGAATATATTGGGACGTTGAAAAAAGTTACAAAAACTCGATAACAAATTAATTATTTATTGATTTAGCTATAAGACTAAGTCAAATAGATGAAAAAAATAAAAAAAATACATGGAAAAATCGTTAAAAATATCTCTATGGATAATAAATAATTTACTTGATGAAAATTATGTATTTATTGATGGTATTAATGTAGTTAATAAGACATGCTCTTCTCAAGAAAATACTAAATGGACATATAATTAAGGCGTTTATATAAATGCATTTATATCTTTATCTTAGTATTATAAAAATTATTCGAATTTATTTATTGATATAATAAAAAATAATTTATCATACATAACAATTAAAAATAATACTGATAATCCATTCTAATTTATTCCAAGTGATTTACAAAATTATGTAATTCTTTTAGAAAACAATTGGGCTAAATATTCTGAAACACATTCTGCATTTAAAGGAATTTACATTAGGTACTTATCTTATGCATATAGATATTTTAAGTAAATTAGTTAAGATTAATAGTATGCTAAAATTATTGAAAATTATATTATAAATAATGCTAATTACATTCTTCCTATTTAAAAAGATTGGTCTTATCCTTATAATTTTTAAAGAAATAATAAAGAAAATGATAAAATAACAGCTGGTACTACTATTTCAGCTTTTGATTTATATGCTTTTAATGATATTCTCATTGAAAAATGATAATATTAAATTTATATATGTTTTTTTAAATGTGTTCTTTTTAAAAAGTGTTATAAATAATTTATATGATAATTTTTTTTTAATAAAAAAAATATACTATTAGTCTATTTTATTTAATTTTATAATATATAATATGTACAATATAATAAATAATATCAATATTATATTACAACAACTAAAATTAATAATTACTTTAAAGAAAGATTAATTTATTTTTAGGGTTATATAAAAACTCATTATGCATGTAAACAATTCGTAGTCCTTATCACACGAAAAATAATTCTACTTTTAATAATAGCCAAATATTATCCAATACAATTTTATTTCCTGAGCTGAAAGGAATAAATTGAAAATTATAATAAAAAATTTGCCTTTTAATTTCCAATCATCCTTTATGTATAAATACATTTTTAAATAATGATCTTCTTAAGCTTGCCTAAGTAAAATAAAGCTATAAGATCAATGAATACTTAAAGTTTCTTTAATATAAGTATTAATAAATTATAAATTTATAATGGCTTGAAAATTTTATTATCTAAATCTTTAAATACATTGATTTCTTGTATATTTTTTTTTTAATATTTTAATTTTATGACATAAAAGAAAAAACAATTAATATTTATAATAAAAGGAAATAATTATTTTTGCATAAATTTTTCTATTGTCAATTAGTTTATTTATTAATTTATAAATAATTATTTAGGTCGAATAAAATACGTACAAATCTCTTTTTTCCAAATTTTATTATAATAATGAGAAACCTATTGAAAATATCATAATTAATAATTAAATTTTGTTCTAAAAAACTATCGATGTCTATTTGTTTCCTAAATTAAATAATGGTAAAGCTATAAATTAGATAAGAGTTAACAATAAAAAAAATATCCAAAAACATTTTAATATAAATTATATATTAAATAAAATTTATATAATATTAAATAATATTTGGAACTTAATTTCGCTTTTTTTAGAAAAATAAAAAAAATTATTAATATATAATAAATTTAAAAAATAAATAAGTAAAATACATATACTTTTTAGATTTAAAAACAAATAATACAATATTTAAATATCAATCATATTTCAAGAATTACTACTTTTTTGCAACATTAAAAATTTAATAAGGTAATTTAATATAACTATTAGAATTAAGTGCAGAGTCAAAAATATTAAAATTAACTTTTTCTAAATCAATTAAGAACTATTAGGCTTCTACTGCTTAAAGGAAAGCTCTAAAAGCTTACGGAGGTAGATCCTTTTAATATTTTTTAGAATCATCAAGAGATTATTTCGCATAAGCAGCGACTTCTAAAATAACATCAAAAAGCTAGTCTTTTGGTTTCCCATTAATTCTATCCCAAAGATTTCTAACAGAAACATTATGTTTTCGATTAATTTCTTCAGGCATATAAAGTCTATATTTTCTTAAATTATAAGGAATTCTTTTTATATAATCAAGAATTCCTAAACATCTTCCAACACTTTGTGCACATTCAATAAGTTATTAATTATCTTTATAATCTATTCTGAGTAATTATAAATTCAAAAAAATCATATTTGTTCTAACTTATTCTGCTAAAAATGCCAATTATCCAATATCCATAATTCTTGGATTATCCGCTTCATATTTTCGTGCATTTATTAAATTTATAAGAATCCCTTTAGAAATTGGATTATTTTTGCAAGTATCATGTAAACATATAGATAAAGGTTCCTACAAGGGCTTATTTTAAAATATCTAATTAATTGACTCTTCCCAAAAATCTAATTTGCCCATTATTAAACTATGTTCTTTTGTATTTTCAGGAATTCGCATTAATTCTATATTGTAAAAATTTATAGCGAAAAATGCATCTCTTAATTTTGAAGGATAATAATTTGATACTACATATGAGTTCCAATCAAACTTTCGGATTTATTCTTTTACGTATTTCTTAGCATTTGGTAACTCATATATTGATCCTTCAATTTTAGGGCTATATTTCTATAATTTTTATTCCAACTCTTTTTATAATTTCTTGCTTTTCTCGATTTTTTCTTGATCTTAAAAATGCTAATCCATTAGTTTTCTTAATTCTTATTCACTCATATTATCATTTTATTCATTTTTAGGATACTCAGATGTAAAAAATTTTAATGGTATATATTATTTGATAAATTTTTTTTTAATTAATTTAAACATTTTTTTATTTTTTTAAGATTTTTTTTTATATGTTAAAAATATTATTTTTTATTTTGTATATATATATATATATATATATATATATATATATATATATATATATATATATATATTTATATATATATATAATAAGTACTTTTAAAAGCTAATTAAAATATTTATATTTCAATTAAGTATTTTATAAAATTTTATAAAAAATAATAAATAAATAATTAAATCAAAATCAATTTTATAAATTTTTAAATCTTTTAAACTTTGTTTTTATATTTTAAATTTTTATTTTTTAAAAAGATTTTTCAATTCCATTTCGATTTTAATTCTTTTATAACTTAGATGGATTTCCCCTTTTTCTTTTCTATATACTAGTTTGATCACCTAAATTATCTATTTTTTTATCATCAGTTTTTTTAATTTGAATATTTATATTTATATTTTCTTAAATAGTATTATTATTAGTTAAATCATTTGAATTATTCAAAATATTATTCATTAAAAGTCTTATTTTTTATTTTTTTTAGCTATTATCATAATATCCTATATCTGTCAAAAAATTAATAATTTAAGAATCTAATTTTATTTTCTACATTTCATTTTATTATTTTTGTGATACTTAATTTTCAATTTAAATTTTTTAATTGAATGATTAACTTCTCCTTTATACTTGAGTTTAAATAATATTACTATTTTCTAAGTAAGAATTTATTTTATTATTTTAACTATTTTATTATAAGTTTTCATATATTTATTAAGCATTTAAATTTTATTTTTGTAATAAATAGTTATCTCTTTACTAAAAATTAAATGTAAATTCGTCTTCTTAATAATGAGAATAAATTGCACTTGGATGTATTTTATAGCAAACAGTATTTGTTTTTTTGGGCAAACTTATTTTCTTTTTAGGAGACTCAGATTTTATAAATTTTGCTATTTTTGCTTTTTACATTCTAAAACTACTCATTTTTAATTATTTTATAAATTAGAATTTTAATATTTTAAATTTGAAAAAAATAATTATTATAAAATATAAATATAAGAAAAAATAAGAATTATATATATATGGTTTGTTTAAAAATATATATAAAAACTATTTTTTATGAATAAATAATAAATAATAATAAATCGGTTTTTTTAGTATTCATATTTATTTTTTTTATATTTTATAAGAATCTTAACTTATATTTTATAAATTAGAATTTAAAATGCATTTTTATTCTTAACAAATTATTATATCGATTAAGTTTAAATAATTAAAAATATGGTTTAATATATAACAAATAAATTATTAATATAATATTAATTATAAGAAATAATTATTTAATAAATTTTTTAATTTTTAAATACAAATTATATTTTTTAGTTATATGAATAGAATTATATTTTTTATAATTTAAATCATATATTAATTTATTAGAATGATAAATTTTTCAATTAATTTTAATATATCCAAATCAACAAAAAATTAAAATAAATAAATAATATAAATAAAATTAACTTAAAATAAAATAAAATAACAAAGCATCAAAATAAATAAAAAAAAACAAAAACAACACAATATCAAAATAAAATATCATAACATCAAAATAAAATAACATAACCATCAAAATAAAATAATATAATATAAGATATCATATAATCGAAATAAAATAAAATAACAATAAAAGTAAAAAAAATTAATATGTTTTTATTTAAAATGTAATATTAAAATAAAATAAAAAATACATTTAGTTTAAATATTTTTTTTTTACGAATATTAATATTTTTTAAAAGCGACATAAAATATCTTATTTTTTAAATGAATATATAAAAAAAAAATTCAAAAATTTAACAATAATAAATATCCTTACTAATACTTTAATCATTCATCAGATGTAATAGTTAATTCAATCTCAACACCAGGATCAATCCTGAAATTGGTAATATTCTTTATATCTGAAACACAGCAAGTTAAATCAATAACCCTTTTATATATTCTCATTTCATATCTTTCCCAAGTTTTTGAACCTTCACCACATGGCGATTTTCTGACAGTATGTACTAAAATTTTAGTTGGCATTCTAACAGGTCCTTTAACTTCAACTTCTTCGATTTTTTTACCTCTTGTTATAATTTCATTTGAGGCTTTTTCTACTGATTTTAAATTTTTGCATGTTAATGTAATTCTAGCCTTGGCTCTCTTAACATCTTCCTCTCCCTTTTTAGCTTCTTTAGTAGTATCCATTTTTTTTATTTTATTTTTTTTCTTTTGTTTTTTTATTTTTTAATTAATTTATCCTTTAGAAAATTTAATCAATTTGTTTTTTATTTTAATATATAAATAAAGTAAAGTATAGTTAATATGTATTTACTTTGGTTCGTTCCCTCCCTAAATCTCTATTTTTGAATGCATTTCTTTAACATCTTACAATATTCATTTCACATATATATTCTTGTCTGAATTTTTTTTAAAATGCTTTTATGTATTTCCGCTATTTTTATTATAGTATTAAAAAGTGATTATTATAAATATTTTATATAGAATATTTTTTATATTACTATTTTATTTTTATTTTTCTGTAATTTTTTTTAAAAATATAATCAAAAAAAACAACTATTATCCATTTTTTCTCGCCCTTTTTTTTTAAAAAAAAAAATATACAAATATAATTCAAAAATTTAAATTTCTTTAAAATTAAGTCCAATTATTACAAAATTTTATACTAATATAATTTTACTTAAAACTTTATAATATTTTATTTGATTATATTCGGAATTATATAACTCCTAAATTTATATTGATTAAATCAACGAGACTCTATTAAACTTTAAATAACGCGTATTTTCTTTCAATTTAAACTATTATAATAAATCCAAAGGATTTAGCATAATGTCATAAAAATCTTATTTTCTAACTCTAAATTTTTTAATTAACTAATTGAATTAAATATTAAAAATTGTATAATTGAAAAAAGTTTAGGCCATATTTACTTTAGTTAAATACTTTACTATAATTTCAATCAGTATTAACATATATTTTTATAAATTCTATAATTAATACATAAAATATTTTTATAAAAAAATTTAATTTTTTTAATAATTAAAAAATTAAAATAAATATTTATAATTTATAACAAACATTAATTTTTTGTTTTTTAAATATGCGATAAATTTTTTGTACAGCCAATCCCCTAAAGCTTCGCTTTCAAAAAAAATCATTAACCTAATATTTCTCCTCTAAAAAATTAGAAAATCTAAATTTAAAAAATTTGGAGCCTAATTAGATTTTTTTTTAAAAAAGGATTCTATTTATTTACGAAAAAATAATTTGATGTTATAATTGAATATTTTTTATTTAGAAAAATATTTTATTGTATCTTATTTAAATATTATAATTATGCTTTTTTTTTTTTTTTTTAATTCTTTGTTAATCTTTTTTAAATATTTACATTGATTTTACGTTATAAGTTTATACTTATTAAGCTTGCTTAATTTTTAAAATTAATTAATTTATATAATTCAATAATAAAATCTGCAATATTTAGTGAATAATATTTAATTATTAATATAAATATTAAACCTTATTTTATAATTTAATTATGTAAATACCTTATTTTATTAACTGAAGCTTAAACTAAATTATATGTCTTTTTTAACTCTTTAATTCTCAAATTGTTTCTTATTTCCTATTATTTTATAATTTATTTTTGTAAATAAATGCTAATACTTTAAATATCCTCTGAAGTCATTTAATTATTTTATCTTTCTATTTTTCTACATTTATTTTTATTCTAAATCTTTTCACGTAAATCAAATGAAAGATATAATTTAATAATTTCCTTACTCTTATAAATAACTACATTTTTTTTTGAGAACTTAATTATTATATTATTAATTTTTCTTATTTTTATTGCAATCAGTTTCTTAATTTTAATTTTCGGCACTTATTTTTTAGTTATTTGATTAGATACCTTATTCATTTTTAAAATGATTTATTTAAAGAGTTTAATGATTTTTAATCATTATATAATGTTTTTTAATTAATCTATAATTATTTTGGCTTATTATCAAGTTTTATTATTTAATCCGCTTTCAAGAATTTTATTAATTTAATAAGCAAGCTAATTTGACGTTAAATAAACTCATTTAATTATTATATTAATACTAATTTTTTCACTTTAAATTTAAATAAACCTCACATTTTAATATTTACTCTCGAAATTTATTTGGATTTTTTCAATAAAAAAGAGCTGTTCCTATAATTATTTATGCAATAAGCACTCTAAAGTCCAAAAATCTATCATCTACTTTTATTAATTAAAAAGTTAACAAAAAATATATAAAATAATAAAATTTAGTAAATTTAATTACTTTTTACTTCCATTATTTTAAATGAATGTCTTTTTGTAATTCAATAATCATCTATTTTTAAAACAATTTATTATTAAAAGTAGTTTTTTTTTTTTAATTAAAATAATATCAGGGATTTAATATCTCTAATATCTATCAAAGATTTAGTTTTAGTACAATAATTATAAACATTTACAATTTAAAATATAAAATCGAGAATTTAATTTGCTTCTAAACAATTATATGGCTTTTTATTTAAAAATTAAATTGATGAATCATTATGTTTTTTATATTTTTATGTAACACTTTCAAACTCCTTCTTATTTTTTTGAATATTTATTTTATTATTATTAAATTTAATGGCTTGTCTATTATTATTGTAATTTAATAATTGTTATATGAATTTCTTTGTAAAAATATTTATTTTCTTTTAATTATTTTTCTTTTAATGCTTGTACTTTTATACTACTACTTCAATTCTATTTGAATATTTATTTATATACTATCTAATTTAAGTTAAGAACATAAACTGAAATCCAATAATTTAGATTCTTAACTTTTTGGGTTTAATAAATTTTTTTGCATTTTTTATGTTTTTATTAAAAATAATATATTAATGAAGAATTTTTACATCTTATATGCTATTAAAATATATATAAATATATATATATATATAAATATATATATATATATATATATATATATATATATATTTATACTATTAAAATTTTATTAATTATTATAGATTTTTATATAAATATTTATTAGGGTAATTACTTTTTAAATTTTATATATTTAAATCAAATATATAGATTCGGTTATCATAAAAGCAAAAATTTGAAAAAATCATATAAAATATTGATATTAGGATATAATGGGAGTGGATATTGGTTTATTTTTATGTATTTTTATTAGACTATTTATTTATTTGTATTTTCTTACATAAGTTGAAGTTGAAGTAAAAACAACCTAAGTATTTTATAGTATCTTAAATAATATTATTTATTACATATTTATAATTAATTGTTATTCTTATTGCTTTAATTTTACTTTTTTGCTAAAATAAAATTAATTAAATTAGTATAATAATTATAATATTTTATCAAAATTATTTTAGTTTTTTATAATTTTAAGTATACTTATTGTATTTTTATTATTATTTTTTAATGTATATGCTTTCAAATATCAGACATTTGTATTTGAATTAATTTTTTTTTATAATAACTTTTTTATTCAAAATTAAATAATTAATAATAAAATTCTTTAATTATTTTTTATATTTTGTTTATTTTTATAAAGAAAATAATAATAAGTAAATTTATTTATTGAATTTTCGCTTGATTATTTTATTTTGATTAAAACTAAAAAGGACAAAAAAAATTATATAAAGAAAAAAAAGATAAATAAAAAAAAATATAAAATAAAAATATTAAAAAAATAAACAAAAAAAAAAAAAAAAAATGGCTGCTAATTAAAGAGGTTGATACTGATTAAATTAATATTTATTATAAATTATATAACATAACTTCGTATAGCATAATTATAATTAATAATAAAAAATAAAAAAGGTAGAGGTGGTTAAGTCGGAACAAAAGTAAAAGTATCTTTAGGTCTTCCTGTAGGTGCTGTCATGAATTGCGCTGACAATTCTGGAGCTAAAAATTTATATACAATTGCATGTTTTGGTATTAAAGGTCATTTAAGTAGACTCCCAAGTGCTTCTGTTGGAGATATGATTCTCTGTTCAGTAAAGAAAGGATCTCCCAAATTAAGAAAGAAAGGTAAAAAATAGTAATTTAATAAAAAGATAATAATATAAAAATAGTACTTTAAGCTATTGTTATTAGATAAAGAAGACCCTGGAGAAGAAGAGATGGTGTATTTATTTATTTTGAAGGTATTTAAAACAAAAATATAATATTTAATATAAAAATAATATTTTTTTAAACAGATAATGCAGGTGTTATTGCTAACCCTAAAGGTGAAATGAAAGGTTCTTAAATCACAGGACCAGTTGCAAAAGAATGTGCTGATGTATGGCCCAAAGTTGCTTCTAATGCTGGCTCAGTTGTTTGATTAAAGAATGTATTTAATGTTTTAGCATTTATAAATTTACATATAAGAATTTATTTGTTTTTTTATTATATAGATTTATATATGTTTCTTTATGATTGGTTTTATTTAAATATTTTAACTTTTTTGCTTTTTTTCTTTATTTTATTATTTTAGGAGAGATATGTAAATCTCATTTTTTTTATTATTTATTTTTGCAAATTAATAACTTAATAGTTATATTAATTATTTTTATATTTTAAGATATCTTGTGTTTTACAATTTTCAATATTTTGAAATTATTTATAAAAATGATATCAAAATATTTATATAAGTAATATCACAATGTTTGCAAAAACAAAATAAAATAAATATTTGAATTAAATAATATTAAATTCATATTTTAATAAATCAGCATCATTTAAATATGATTCTATTTTAAATAAAATATCAGTTTTACAAATATTTTGATATTATCTATATATTATTATTTTTGTATACAATATATTTTATTCAAATTGTATTGGTTAAATTGATTTATATTACTGAAAGATTTATACTTATTTAATTTTATATTTTTTTGTACGAATATAATATACACATGAATAAAATATTTGCATAATTAAAAGGTATTTTCTTTTAAATTTTTATTTTTATTTTTTAATTTTTATGAAAACAAAAAATATATATATTAATAAAATTAGGAAGAATTTTTAATATTTGCTTTTTTTTAAAAAAAATTGTATTTTATTGTATATAATATTTAATACTTATTTTGCAAATTTCGAAATAAATATGTCATTATATAAAAAAAAAGTTTTAATAATCTTAAAAAAAAAAAAAAAAAATTTAAAAATTATTAAAAAAAATAATGTTTATATAAAATAAAATATTTATCCTTTAAATTATATTTTAGATGTTAAAAATATTCAATTTGTATAAGCAATATCATAATGACCTGGTCTATATAAAAGAGTAACAAAAACATCTTTCTCATCTATACCTTCAGGTAAAATAATCATATTTGGTTCTGTATTGTTAGGGTTAGAATTAAGATAAATTATTTTTATAGGTACACAAAGATAATTAATTAAAGCCATCATAGGTATCTTTAATTTATATAAAAATTAAAATATAACGAAAATTAGAAAAAAAAAAATATATATATATATATATACTTAATCAGCCTCTTTATCTAAAGGATCTACTTCAGTTTAACAAAATTAATGGATACTCACTCCATTTTCAATAAAGTTTTCGTATAAAATAGCGTTATTTTTTAAATAACCAGAAGTCATAAAGCGCAAGTACATGACTAAATAATCTGAAATTGATTTATCGTTAAACATATTTTATCTATATTTTTTTTTATAATAAAAATATTATTATTTTTTACAAATTATCTATACTGAAATCATAGTTTATTATATTTGCCAATTATTCCATTATATTATCATAAAAATCTTCGAGGACAAATTCTTAATACTAAGCTTTTATTAAATCATCTTTTGATTATTTAATTATATTTTATATTTTTTAATGAAGATTTTTATCTTTATTCAAAACAATGTGCTCAAATATTTAAAATAAATATGATCTGTAAAAGCAACTTCCATCCCTTCTTACTCTTCTTATTTAAGGGTATTTAGTGTCCAAAGTCTTTATAAATAAATATTTTCTTTATTATTTTTTTTAAATACTTATATTTTATTAATAAATGCTTAGTTATTTTCAAATTCAGTTTTTAATATATTTATGCTTTCTTTTTTTCCAATTAATGGATGATCTCCTTCTGCTTCTTTTTTTATTTAGTCCAAATGCTTACTATATAAATCATAATCAATTGGTTATTGGTATTATTCTTAGTCGTTATTTTTTTTTATTCTTCCATTTTTATGATTTTTTTTTAAAAAAAATTAAATTTTTTATTTTATGATTTATTAACTAATCTTGAAAAAAAAAAAAAATACAAATATAAATTAATATATATATTTTAAAAAATATTTTTAGAAAATATAAATATATTGGAAAAACGTTAATATAATTATAATTTCAATAAAAATTAAGTAATAAGATAGATGGTAACTCCAAAAGGAAAACTTAATTATGCAAGTAAGAAATTAAAAAAATAAAAATAAATAAAATAAAGAATTAAGAAATTAAAAAAGAAACAATTCAGAAGTAGATATAGAAAAAAGTCAATAAACAAACCTAAACTAAAAAAGCATAAATAAAACAAATATTTGTGAGAAAACAAACAAAGGGTATTAATCATTGTTTTCAATGGACTAATAAAACTAAGATTATATAAATAAAATGATATAGATAAGCAAATAAAATTAACAAATTTAGTAAATTTAGTAATAATAACAATAATTATAAAATAGAAATAGCCGTACTAAAAGTAGCTTTACGTATTCTAATACTCCTAAAATTATATAAAAAGATAAATCACCCACATATTAAAATTTTCATACGAATCTAACATATAGAAAAGGTTAAGATATAATAAATTAAGTATAAGATGAATAAACGTAAAATAATTGTAAATATGATAAATCTTGTGAAAATAAAAATAGCTAAATTATAAAAAGTAGTAATTTTTTGAATTAAATAAACAATTATTTATCATATTTTGATAAATCTATTGAATAAAAAAACAAAATAAATAAAAGAAATGACTAGTAAAAATAATAAGAATTAATATAAGAGAATATATTTTTGAAAAATCAAATATAATAGCTTTAATAAAGTTTAAAAGAAAGTAATTTATCAAGGCAAATTTTAATGGAAGATCTTAAGAAAATATAACAAAAATACTTCGAATTCAAATTAGAATATAAATAAGTATATATTTAAAATGTTAATTTAAAGGAAAATCTTAGATTTTCTTAATTAAATTAAATTTAAATTTAAGAACAGTTAATCAAAGAACAAATTAAATATCAAAAAATCATTCTTTCTCTAAAATAATTATTAAAGTAATTCTTTTTTACAAAAAAAATAAAATAATATATATATATAGTTAAAGTGATGAATAAACTAAATATAAAAAATAGTACACTCAAAATAATTAAAAAGGATACTACAATTAAGATGATAGTAGTACTATTAGTATATAGGAAACTAATTTGGATAATTAAGATATTATTTTTGATTAAAGTTATTCTAAGCTTAATAATAAATTTAATTATTAGTAGTAACTTTTAAATAATGAAGATAATTGTGCTAATAATGTTGATTTATGCTTGAAAAATAACGATTATTATTTAAATTCTAATGAGAAATATAGTAGTCTTGATTGTTATGTTAGTAATATTATTAAATAAAATAAAAAGCTAAAATAAAATATAGATGGAGACGAAAATACTTATAAATTTTGAACTTATAATATAAAACTGATTATGTAAGTTTTTTTATTGATTTTTTCGAAGTGTAATTATTATGGTTTTTTTACTTGTAGATCATATTATATGAAAATATTAAAAAATATAAATTATTTCTTGTTTATATAGTTTTTTATTTTTTCTTTTCTTTAATTTTATTTTTAAAAAACTCAATATAAAAAAAAGGGTAAACAACTAATCATATTGTAAAATATTTTTTTTTTTTTTTCCAAGAATTATCAAATAAAAAATATCATTTACAATTTGGTAATACAAGATTTTTTTTTTAAAAAATAAAATTAATAAATGATTAGTTAATAACTTCTTTTTTTCTATTTAGTTTTTAAAAAATTATTAAAGAAAAAAAAAAACAATATGAACAATTAATTTATATTGTTAATTATTAATAATTATTTTAAATAGAACTTTAATTTTTTCTCATATATTTTGAATTAAATTATTTAATTACAAATATTTTTAATAATAGTTTATATAATGATATGTGATAATTTTTGAAAAAAATAAAAATATTTTTTATTATTTATTTTTATGACAAATAAATAAATAATATTTATTTTATTTATCACTTAATAAAAAATAATATAATTAGATTTTAATTATTCAAAAAAAAAAAAAAAAATAATTTATATATATTTAAAAAATAAAATATTTAAAGTATTATTAAATTTTTATTATTGTATAATTTTATGTTTGTATATTTTTAATTTTATTTAAAAAATATTTTTTTATACTTTAGAAAATATATTTTTTTTATATTTGAAATCCTGAAAACTGAATTAATTATATAATGAAACTTTACTTAATTTCTATATCTTAAATATAAAATATTATTTTCATCATTTTATAAATGAAAATATACTAAAAAGTATAAATAATTTAAATAAAAATAAAAAAAGTTTTTAATTAATAATTTAAAAAAAATCATATTTTTAATTTGATAAAATATAAAAATTACTATGTAGTAAGAAGGATTCATAAATTTATTTTTTAAATTAAAAAATACAAAATACAAATCAAATTAAGAAATCAAAATTTATTAAAAATAAATATTTTCATATTTATTATAAATACATTTAATAATTATTAATTTAAAATATAAGAATATATATCATATAAATAAAATATTTACAAAATAAAAGATAAATATATTATAAATATATCAATAAATTTAATATTATTTTATATTTCTAAAATTATAAGTATTATTATTATTATTATTATTATTATTATTATTTTTATTATATTTAATATTAATATTATTATTTTTATTTTTATATTTTATATATAAATTTTTAACCATTTTTATTTTCTAAAAAAAAATCATATTTTTTAAAAGACCAAAGTTATTTTATTATATTTTAATTTTGTTTTGATTATTTTTACTTTTTTTATTATTTTAAGAACATAAATTATTACTTAATTTTTATATATATATATATATTTTTAGATTTTGTTTTATTAATTTATATTAATTCATTATATTTTTTATATAAAAATAATTTTATATCTAAAAT